TTTCCAAATATTTACTTTTACCCTACCAGAATAAGGGAATTTTTCTCACATCTTCTCCTTGAGAACTTGGTGGAGTTCCTGGAGATTATAACTTTTCTGGGTTAAGCCCAAGAATTTGCAGAGAACTCCTCCAAGACTTGGTTGCCAGGAATTTTATTAATTAATTATTTTAAAGATGTGGGGCACAATTCAGGGTTAGGTGTATAAGTGGTCATGGTACAGGTACACTTTGGTCCCTGCTTTGCCTGGTTTGAGATCAGGTACCTTTTTTTTTTTTTTTTTTTTTGAGTTGGAGTCTCACTCTGTCGCCAAGACTGGAGTGCAGTGGACGCTCCCGGCCACCGCAGCCTCGACCTGCTGGGCTCTGGCGATCCTTCCACCTCAGCCATCCGAGTAGCTGGAATTACAGGCATGTGCTACCACGCCCGGCTGATTTTTTGATTTATTGTAGAGATGAGGTCTCACTGCCCAGGCGGGTCTCGAACCTGCGGACTCAGGCAATTCACTCAGCTCAGCCTCCCAAAGGCGCAGGATTACAGGCTGAGCCTCTGAGCCCGGCTGAGATCAGGTACCTTTATTGATGTTGTGTCCCTCACCCCGATCCCGGCAGTATCCTGCTACTGCCTTTTCCTTTCTTATACTATTATAGTAAATGTTCAGGGTTCACTTTGTGGTAGTCTGTTCTCTTTTCTGTGATAGATCACTGAGTATGAAAGATTCTAATCCATCCAAGTTGCTGTGAAGTCCATATGTTTGTCCTTCGTTATGGCTGTGTAATATTCTATTGTGTATATGTACCACTTTTTAAAAATCCAGTCCAGTTTCAATGGGCAGTACGGTTGGTCCCATGTTTTTGCTACTGTGACTAGAGCTGCGACAAAAATATGTGTGCAAGTATCTTTTTTGTAGAATGATCTGAGTTTCTCCAGGTATATTCCCAGTTGGGGGATTGCTGGGTCACATGGAAGGTGACTGTCTAGTTCTTTTAGAAATCACCACATTGTTTTCCAAAGCGGTTGCACAAGCTTCCATTCCCACCAGCAGTGCAGAAGTGTTCCCTTTTCTCTGCATCCTTGTCAGAATCTGTTGTTTAATTAATGGTGGGCATTCTTACTGGGGTTAGGTGCTATGCTAATGTGGTTGTAATTTGCACTTCTCTGATGATTAGTGAGGCTGAGCACTTTTTCATGTGTCTGTTGGCTGCCTGTATATCTTCTTTAGAGAAGAGTCTATTCATGTCTTTTGTCCATTTTTTAAGGGGGCAGTTTTTTTCCTTTTGGCACCTTTGAGTTCCTTGTATATTCTGGATGTTAGGCTTTTTGTCAGATACACAGTTGGCAAATATCTCTTCCCATTCTGTGGGCTGTCTCCCTACTCGCTTGGTGGTTTCTTTTGCTTTGCAGAAGCTTTTCAGATGGTCCCACTTGGTTGCCAGTTCCAATTTCCATAAGGGTGTCTCCTGCATTTTCTAAGGTTCTTATAGTTTGAGGTTTTACGTTTAGGTCTTTGATCCATTTAGAGTTGACTTTTGTGTATGATGATGGGTAGGCGTCCTGTTTCAATCTTCTGCATGTGGCCAGTCAGTTTTGCCAGCACCATTTACTGAATAGGTTCTTCTCTCTTCAATGGTTGTTGGTGGAGGCTTTGTTAAAGATGAGTTGGTTGAGAAATTGAGGTTTTGCTTCTGGAATCTCTATTCTGTTCCATTGGTCCATATGGCTATTCCTGTACCAATACCAGACTATTTGATTACTGTAGCCTTATAGTAAAGTTTAAAGTCTGGAAGTGTGATACCTCCCACTTTGTTTCTTTTTCTGAGGATTGTTTTGGCTGCTCATAGTCGTTTATGTTTTCATATGAATTTTTGTATTGTCATTTCCAGGCCTGAGAAAAATGATGTTGATAATTTAATGGGTATTGTGTTGCATCTGTAGATTGCCTTTGGTAGGTTGGACATCTTAACAATGTTGATTCTTCCAATCCATGAGCATGGAATGTTTTTCCATTTGTTTGTGTCTCCTTGGATTTCTTTGAGCAGTGTTTTCTAGTTTTTATTGTAAAGGTCTCTCACTTTTCTGGTTAGGAAGATGCTGAGGTATTTCATTTTTTTGTGTGGCTATTGTGACTGGGATCGCACTATTTATTTGGTTCTCTGCTTATTGGTGTATAAGAATGCAACTATCTTTTGCACATTTATTTTGTACCCTGAGACTCTGCCAAAGTCCTCTATCAGTGAAAGCAGGTTTTTTGACAGATTCTCTTAGGTTTTTGAGGTAAAGGATCATATCATCAACAATGGTGGGTAACTTATCTTCCTCTTTTCCTATTTGGATACCCCTGATTTCCTTCTCTTGTCTAATTGCTCTAGCTAGAACGTCTATCTAACATAATGTTGAACAAGAGGGGTGAGAGTGGGCAGCCTTGTCTTGTTTCAGTTTTCAGGGGAAATGTTTTCAGTTTCTGTCTAAGTAATATGTTAGCTGTGGGTTTATCATAGATGGCTTACTATTTTGAGGTATGTTCCTTCTATGCCTATGTGTTTGAGGGTTTTTATCAAGAAGGGATGCTACTCTCAAACTACTCCTCACTCAGCCTCCACCAATTCATCAAAATTACCAGTCTTTCGATCAGTTACTGGCTTTACTGGCTTCTATTCTCAGTAAGCTGATCTTGGTTGTGCTTCTCCGTATTTGTCTGTTTCTCCAGATGTTGAGGTGATGGTTTGTCCACTGACCTCAAGGCTCTGATGGATCTAAGAAAAGCCACTGATTTTATAGCTTTGTTGCAGTTTTCTTGTGATTTTCAGTTGTTGTACTTTCTTTTCCTTGTGGTATATATACACAAATATACATGTACATATTTTAAAAATTGTATTTTGATTTCTTCAGATACATGTTTCGGTTCAAGTCTCTTCAAATTGGTCTAATCTACTTTTAGATTCATCCACTACTTTTTCAATTTCACTTGTATATCTATCCTTTATCTTCATGCTTACTAAATGTATCAATTTACCAGATTCTGCAAATGCCTTCAAATAGAAGCTAGCTTCAGAGTGCACCCTAACTCTGTGGGTTCCTGCCCTCACTTCTTATTTTTTTTCAGTCTGGCATTTTTGATGGGAGATTATGGTACCTATTCTGGTAGTCTATCAAAGTAGAAGTCTATATCTTAAGGTATGTATTTCTAGTTTTGTGACTCTATTCTTAAAAAACAAAAGAAAACAACAAAAAACCTGTGATATGTACTAGTTCAATATGGCTTCTCTTACTGTCTACAATGAAATAAATACATACTAGCTTAGTGAGTCTGGTATGTATAAAATTTACACCATTAGTTTTTACAAATAGGTGTGTTAGTATTTGGGCACTGATTATACCTTGATGGTATCAAAGTCATGATCAGAACTTTATGCAAATAATGTCAAGCTTATTCCTTTAAAAAGAATACCGCTACAGGTGACATTAGACAAGTCTCTAGCAATCAACTTTACCTCTAGGTTTTTAACTAATTTCTCTTGCTTTGATTGAAATATTAATAATTCTTATATCCATGAACATAAAATAGCTTTTTATAGAGCAAAGACAGTAGCATTAAGTAAGCATTAAGACTGATGTGTGTTTTGGAAATGATTAAAAAGATATGCAATGGTTAAACAGATAGTTATGTACAGTATCCATAAGTTACAATTATTTGGCAACTATGGAACCACAGTTACTAATGGAATCAGTATTTTAAAACATTAATTTGGTATGTCATTTTACTGGAATGGCCTAAAGTTTGTAATACCAACTGGTTCACAGACCTTTTTTCTTTAAATGACTTAATTTTTTTTAGAGCAGTTTTAAGTTCAAAGCAAAACTGCAAGGAAGATACAGAGATTTCCTGTATACCTCCTGGCCCACACATGGACAACCTCCTTTGTTAATAACACCCTCCATCAGAGAGGCTATCTGTCACAACTGACGAACCTACACTGACACATCATTAACACCCAAAGTCCACAGCTTACATTAGGGTTTACTTTTGGTGTTGGACATTTTGTGAGTTTGGACAAATGTATAATACCATATATTCACTGTTGTAAAATCATGTAGAGTACTTTCACTGCCCCAAGAATCCTTTGTGTTCTGTCCATTTATCTTTGCCTTCCTTCTAACTCCTGGCAACCACTGATCATCTTACTGTCTCCATAGTTTTGCCTTTTCCAGAATGTCATAGAGTTGGAATCATAGTGTGTAGACTTTTCAGATTGGCTTCTTTCACTTAGCAATACATAGTTAAGGTCTCTCCATGTGTTTTCATGGCTTGGTAGCTCATTTCTTTTTAGTGCTGAATAATATTCCATCATCTGGATGTACCAGAGTTTGTTTATCCATCCACCTACTGAAGGACATCTCTGTCTTTGCTAGCTGAAAGGAATCTCACTAAAGTTTAATACCAGTTCCTCTAAACTTTCAAGATTGTTTTATAAACTCTTGTTGCTGTATTCCAGATATGATGTCTCTGTCCAATAGTACAACTTCGATGCTGAGTTAATTAATCCCCCCAAAGTAATTAGGCACGCTTTTCTAGGATATATCTTTTTCTCCCATAATTTCTTGTACATGCTAATACTCATTACGTAAATAAACCTTTTGACCAAATAAGAGTGCAGCAGAGAAACAAAATCACTGTTATTTGTTTTCTTTTTTCACGTCTTACATAGTAGTGTTACCAAAGATCAAAGGAAAGAAGGAGAAAAAAGTCTGCATAATTCTGATCAACAGAGATCCTTGTGTGGCTCATATACATATTTCTGCTACACATATTTGTCTTATTCATCTTGGTATCACTGTGACTTTCCAAAATTTTATATTTGTGAAAATTGTCTGCTTACTAGGAAATAATAGTACACTTGGTATAATTATCGGTACTATGTACATATATTAAACCTTTTTTTCTAGACGTTTATATTTCATGCTTTTGACATATTTAGAAGTGAACAGAAATGTTCTACCAACCTGAAGAAAGAAGCAGTAAGGTTTTCATACAGAGGTACTCTTCATAAGATACCTGAAGCCTCTGTAACTCAGAGGAAACATATAGCATATGTTTACATTGGTCATACATGTAGGGTAGCGTCATTCTCTGCCTGTGAAAGACAAACATTGGTGTTTGAGTTAGAAAGAAACAGTGCTAGCTTAAGAAAAATACGTTTTTTATTTTGTTTTACAAAACTATAACTGAAAGAAAAACTTAACTATTGCCATTAATGCTAATTCTCTATAAATCAGAATTTTGAAGAATTTTCCTTAAGCTTATTCCTGAATCTAAAATATTTAAAGAGACTAATGAATAATCTGTTTTTACTATGGAGATATTATTTTCTATCATGCATGCTGCTTTATTTACTTAAATGCTTAGAATTTTTTTTTTTCAGTTGGAGTCTCACTCTGTCACCCAGACTGGAGTGCAGTGGCCACTCCCGGCCACCGCAGCCTCGACCTGCTGGGCTCCAGTAATTCTTCCGCCTCAGCCTTCCGAGTAGGCCGGAATTACAGGTACGCGCTACCATGCCCGGCTTATTTTTGATTTATTGTAGAGATGAAGTCTCACCAAGTTGCCCAGGCGGGTCTCGAACCCGCGGGCTCGGGCAATCCACTCACCTCAGCCTCCCAAAGCGCGGGATTACAGGCTGAGCCACCGAGGCAGGGGAATTTATTTTTATAGAATATTACCAGTTGCTCACTTAACTCAAGGTTTATCATTTGAATATAGTCAATTAGACAACAGTTTTAGATCCTACCCACTTAAAAATCAAAGCATATTTTTTCACAACATTCCATCCTGCAAACTACCATGTGTGATACACTTTTCATAGTTATGCAGAGGGCCAGAACCAGCACTTGATTTTAGACTTTTGAGACCCCAAATATGCTCTGACAGGTATGTTACTACGTATTCTTTAAACTAAAGGTACCAAATTAGTTCTTGATTATGATTCTCAACAGTCATTATTACACCTAAAATTTTCAACTGCTCTCTAAAGTTTCCTGACTTTTGGAATGGCAGACACTAAGATGCTGAAACCATGCCCAGTTCATGGGTTTTAAAATACTTCAAGATCTCTCTTTAAAAAAACTTCTGACAGGAAGTGATCTTAGATTTAACAGAAAAAATAAACAAGGTTTTTTTTTTCCCTCTACTGAGGATGTGTGTGTGTGTTTTTAAATGTATATAAATTTTTTGAGTGGGGTCTTGCTCTGTCACCCAGGCTGGAGTGCAGTGGCACTATCACTGCTCACTGTAGTTTCGACCTCTTGGGCTCAGAAGATCTTTCTGCCTCAGCCTCCTGAGTTGCTGGGACTACAGGCGTGTACCATTACACCCAGCTAATTTTTTGAATTTTTGTAGAGATACTGTGATTCCCAGGCTGGTCTTGACCTCCTGGGCTCAAGCAATCCTTCTACCTTGGCCTCCCAAAGTGCTGGGATTACAGGCATGAGCCACTGCACTCAGCCTGTGGTTTATTTCTTCATATGATAAAATAAGTCAGACATAAATTGTATGCTGCCAAAGTGATCATGGATGAGTTCTGATGGCTCTTCAAATTTAAAATCTGCTCTTACAAAAGAGGCACCTTCCCAATTCCCTAATAGTAATTACTCATTTTCAGGAGGATATCTTTTTCTCCTTTAGTTTCTCCTACATGGTTATACTCCATATAACTGAAAATTTCAACAAAGTCACAGTATAGTACAGCAAATAAAAACTCATTCTTGTTGACTGTAAAACAAAGTATTTTTTATAACTTTCTGACCTAAGGACAATAAAGAGAGACTGTTTTACAACTACACAGGGGATCAGAAATTGAATGTATATTTTCTGACACCCCAAATCTGCCTATCACAGACACCAGAGCAGTTTGGAGCACAGTAGGCCAAGACAAAGAGTTGGAGACCCGCTCATCTCATATAAGCAGCATAAGAATGTAAGAAAGGAAAGTAAGAATGCCCTCTTTAAGACTGTTTTTCCTATAAGCCATCTATCCTTTAAAGTAAAAATAATCTTTTAACAACTAGCTGAAATCATTAAAAAGCACTTCTCTATATCCCATCATGAGAATTAAATGATTGTAAATCTATTGAGGGAAAAATCTCTATAATTACCACTTTAAGAAATGCATATGGCATGATCATGTTATGCTGTGACAACTTACACTTCAATTTGAGTACACTAATAATAGACACTCCAAATTAGATTATTTTAATTTTATGCATGAGAAGGGTAAGTTGGTATTTCATATAAATCTGTTTATGGTATGGTTTTAATTTGAAGTAAATGACTTCAAGTTGCATATCAGAAAATAATTGTAAACAATAAATACTGCCAACATGATATTTTTTAGTAAATACTGCCAACATGATATTTTTTAGAAGCCATCGTTGGATTCTGAAATGAGTAACAATGTCTTGAGTTTCCATGAAAGCTATGTATATTTTCCAGTTAATTTAAAACTGGATCAAACAACCTCATCTTGTTATATTGGGATGTAGTAGTTTCAACAGTCCTTTTTTTGGCAACAGACAAAGTGACTTCTTTCTCTAACAGATACCTCAGAGTATGACTGTGTGGAGGTATGGTCTGGGCAATCACATGGTAGTACCTACCAGCTGAAGGCTAATATATGGCCCCTTCTTGAAATACAAAGCAAGTGATTACAGTATATCTATTTTAAATGCCTCATCATGTTACTTCTCCTTCAGGTCTCAGCTCAAATGACACCTCCTCAGAAAAGTCATTAGGTACCCTATCTGAAATAGATGTCTAGCACAAACTTGATCACAGCTGGAAATTATTTTATTTATTTGGTGGTTATCTGTGTCTACCCCACTAACATGTAAGCAACTAAAGGCCAGGAACCTTGTTTATCTTGTTCTCTACTATAGTTGGCACCTATTAGAAGTATGATACATGATACATATGTATTGCTCCCCACTAATCCAACTTGCCTGCGTCTTGCTCCTTGAATAAAATCTAAATTCTATATCATGGTCTACAAGATTTTCTTACCTGGGTTCCTGTTTACCTCTCTAAATCCACAGTATATCTTCAGGGGCCTTCTCTCAATTCCTCACACATGTGAAGCTTGTTTCAACTCTCTAGACTTGTTTCTTCTGCCTGGAGTGCCCTATGCTTTTGCATAGCTTGTTCTTTTCTATCATTTAGTGTTCAGCTACTTAGAGACCTTCTGTGATTACAAAATTTAAAGTAGCATCATTCCCCTCTCTCTTCTCTTTCCCCTAGTCACACTATTATATCACAGCTCTATGAAATTAATTTTGGTCATTTATTTGAGTTCCCTCATCAGAATTTTGTCAGGGGACTCACCTATTTGATCGATTCATTCACTGTTATATCCCAAGCTCCTAAAATAGTGCCTGGCACTTGGTAAGTACTCAAATATCACTGAATGAATACTAGAAAATAAGTATTACCAAAGGAGAAGTGCCACCAAGTTTAATCTAATAGTTGAGCCAGAACCTTTAGACTAGTTTTTAACGCAGGTAGCCTAGTAACAGGGAAAACTGAAATCTCTGCTTTAGGTACCTCTCATTTACCCTGCCAAATACGTGGCCTTGGAATTAACAAGGAAGAGGTGTCCTGGATCTAGAATTGCTTCACCACCAGTGGCTCCTTGTACACTGCCTAAGAAACTCTTTAAAAATATCTGGTCTAGTATCCAGTCCCTAATAAAACACAATATAGGAGCTTACTACATCATAAATCAGGCTCACCCATTGAACATTCTGCTGAAATAGATACTGTCCTATAACTCCTACCCATTATTTTTGTACCTGGTACACCTAACAGAACATGTTTGCTACATCTTCATAGAATTTCTCTTTAGGCTGCCCTTATTGCTCTCAAATCTCCTGTTTTTTTTTCTTCTAAACATTCAATGTTCATCAGTGTTAATTTCCAAACTCCTTGCCACTCTGGATACACTTCAGGTTGTCACTGTTACTCTTAATGTGGTACCTATTTCTGAAAATAAGTACTAATGTTGGTCTTATTCATAGAGAGTGCAATAGGACTATTATTCAACTAATGTGGTTTAAGATTTCATTAATTTTTTGGAACCCTTCTCAAGAGCATCCAGAGCTCACAATTAAGGAAATCTTCATTATTTTTTAAACACAAATATAAATCTCCAACTTTTGCTCTTCTTTGACTATGGGTATGTATGTGTGAATTCTCTATTAGCATTTTAATAAAAGAGTTAAGTTATGGGCACAAAAAGCAGTAATATGAGGTAGAAAGTGAGAAGAGCTAGGAATATAGAGCAAAGAGGTCATATCTGGTGATATGCACACCATAAGCTAAGGGTATGTTCAAAGCTTGGATCAGCTGAGTGGGAACAGAGCGTGTGCTAAGGAGAACAATGGGAGATAAAGTGAGGTCAAGTTCTGGAAAGCCTGAAACCATGCAGAGTATGCACTGGTCAGTCAGGGAGATGACCCTAAGGACGTTTGTGTACTAAGGAGACATGTGATGTGATGAGAACCATGCTTAAGGAAGAAAGCATTAGTCCACAAAAGGAATACATTGGGGGTAGAAAACTAGTGAGGCAACAATGCAATGAGGTGAGGGGACACCTGAAATACTTGACAGAGGTATAAGCATAGGGGATAAAAGAATAGCTGATTTATACAATCTTAAGGCTTGATTGGTCTCCCAATTTAAAAAAACAAACAAACTTGTTTCCATGTTCTCTGTAAGCCATAAACATGAAGTGAGCCTTGCCATGCAAAGAGATACCTCTTGTCTCTGAGTTCACACTTCCCACTCCCTCAGCCTAGATGTTCTCATCTGTAACTACCCCTACTGAATCTGCATGAGTTTTATCATGCTTCTTATCCTTTCTGGAATAGGATTATGCAATTAATACCACAGTAAGATTCTTTATTACTTGCCATAATCTTTATTGACTCCAGAGATGCCCACTATTTTAAAAACATTCTTAAGTGACATATGTCCTGGGACCATTATGTATCAATAAAAGAGAGGAAAAATAGAGTCCTGGCTTGGGGTATAAATCAATAAATTTAAGCGCTTTACATTACACTTGTCCTGCCTCTCCAGCATTGGTAAACAATTCTTTTCAAGTCTGCCTTGTTTGTAGATACCTGGTAGGATTGATTCAGTCCTGAATTATCATAATAACAGTCCATAAGGAAGACATCAGCTTGCTAAAAATACCCCGTGTTTAAGGGAAAAGCACTCTCATACAACTTACTCATTAATAACCAGATCAGGTGCAAAACATAGCAGGTTTGCACTTGCTTGTTTATATGATCTCCATCCAAGGGCAAATGCCATGAGAAACATCCATGAGTACTGAAGTAGGGTCATTTGGTCATCCAGATGTAAGTTCCGGAATCCTGAATTAAAAGAAATAAAAGTATAAGGCAACACTCTTAAGAAGATCATCTCTCTGGAAACTGAAAGAGCAATTTGACCCATTAGCCTGGTTTTGGGGGACTTTTGGCAGATAAACTTAAATACTAAGGGGAGACAGTTTTTCTTTGTCATCTGACACATCAGTGCTTTGTAATAGCAGTCAATGTAAGTAGCTAGTTTTACAACCTTTTGTATATGTAAGTAAATGAACTAAATAGTACAACAGAAAGCCAAGAATTATGGCTTGGTGGTTGCCAAAGGATGGGGAGGGGAATGGAGCAGGGTTAGTTAATGAGTACAAAAATGATCACTAGCACAATAGGGCGACTATAGTTAACAGTAATTTACTTTACATATCAAAATAGCTAAAAGATTTGGAATGTTCCCAATAGAGTAATGACAAATGATATGATGGATATCCCAATTACCCTGATTTGATCATTATACATTGTATATATGTATCAAGACATCACATGTACAACCATTATGTATCAATAAAAGAGAGGAAAAATAGAGTCCTGGCTTGGGGTATAAATCAATAAATTTAAGTCAAAAATTTTCCCTGATATTCACACCTCTTTCCCCTTTGATAGACCAGGGATGACAGGAGGTCAGGTTCCTCATTCTTATTCTGTCCTGAACTATCTGAACTTAAGCTTGTTAATTTCTATCTGTAAAGTCAAGAATTGACACTAACATTGACCTCTGCTGTTCCACACCACATTTCATTGAGGAAACTTTTATTTAAAATTTACATTCAATGTGTAGCATTTCATTTAGTGAAGTTAAAAATCATTCTACTTTAGTACATTTTGACAGAGTCAAACAACTAATGTTTACCAATTTTACAAACAACCCGATTTTTAAAAGTGATACACTAAAGGAAAAACAAATGGAATTAGACATATTATACATTTTCTTCCCCTAGACTTTAGGGTAAAAGTAATTTGGAGTAAGTCTTACAACTCTAGTTCTGACAATGCATCATCCAATATGAAACTACTGTTGTCGGAAATGAATTGAAAAGCAAGAAGTAGTGTAAAAGTTTTCTAATAGACTCCCCACTTACTCATATTCACCCGATTCCCTTTATCAATCCCCAGAACTGAGTAAGAGAAAGAAGCTAAGCCATGGGATCAGAATGACGAAAATCCAAAGTGTTTTCGTTCAAGAAAATACAAAAGTTTACACAGTAGCTTTTCATCTTACCTGGTATTGCCTTTGCCCATTTCACTGCTGCAACCACTTGCCGACCCCCTAACATATTCAGCGTGGTCATGATCCTCCATGTGGAATCTGGAACAGTGCTATCGTAGCCTGAGTATAATATGTCAGGTTCAATGACCTCCAGCAGGGACACCAGGGTCGGGGTGAGTTGTGGTAAGGTTGCAGGAACTATTGTTTTGTTAGCAGAATTTTCAGAAGTTTCCTGTGAGACTCCTGCAGTGGCCTGTTGAATACCTTTTATTTTTTTCTTTGTTTTTCGAGCTGTGGGTATTTAAAAAATGCATAGAAATTAATTGTGATGGGAAGGTCTGTGCTACACAGTTATTCAGGAGGTATTTTTAATTTCTGAAACTATTAAGACAGAAAGAGGAGAAATTTTTATTTAGCAATTATGATAAAGTAACACAGAAGAGGCGAGAAAAACATTTTTTTGAAAGCAAAGGATCCACAGGAACCTATTCCCCTATTACTTTTTCCTACAAATAAGCCAATAACTTCTTCATTATAGTTACACCTTATACAAAATAAGTGTTTTATAACCCTATGTTAAAACAATCTGAATAAATCATTTCTGTAGATTCCTTCATAAATTATTTTTTGTCTCATTTTCACTCTAAATTTGAAACTTTCATTGGTTACATAAGACAAATTACTCTTATTATCAATTGAAAGAATCAAATCTTGGTAATAACAGATTATAAACTATGGTTTAAGATTAATCTAAATTATGTCAGTATACATTATAAAGACAGCTATACTATTTATACACTCATACAAAGCTACATTCATATCGAGATAGGAAGATGAAATAGCAGTCACATGCTAAAGATAGTATTAGTTCTAACAATAGAAACACCCATTTTTTACCTTTACATGATAGATACTGCTTGGAACTAAAAACTTTTGGGGAGATGAGAAGAAAAACTTTATATTACTTCACATAAATTATCAGTGGGAAATTTCCCTTATTTATTTGTTTATTTATTTACTTATTTATTTTAAAGATGTGGGGTACAATTCAGGATTAGGTATACAAGTGGTCATTGTACAGGTAAAGTCTGGGCCTTCCTTGGGTTCCCACTTGGCCTGGTTTGAGATCAGGTACCCTTATTGAGATTCTGTGCCCCAGTCCCCCAGAAATTTCACTTTTATTATAAGAATGATTTATATTGATGACTCTACAAACCTAAAGCATCCATTTTCATAGATACACAAAGTAAACACAGTTATGTTTTATCTCTTTGTATGGATTCTGTAGACTTTTCAGTAGACTTATTCATACTCCTAAACTTACTTTGTTTTAGTGACCAAATAAAAATTATTCTCTTTAAGTACTCAGAGCTCCAAGGAAGAGCAAAAAATGTAATTTATATGAAAAAAGAAATGTATCTGCCTCAGTTACTAAGGATGCAAAGCATTTTGTAAAGGGAAAAGTAAATGCAGATTACCTTTTAAAATAATTATTGGATCCTGTGTGCCTAAATGACATAACCGTTTTCAGATCACAGATATGGTGGTGGGAACTATATTGCAATGTCTAAAGTTAGAAAGTGGAAAAAAAAAACCTGTTGTTTACATGGAATAGAATGATTCCATTCTTACTGTGTTCTGTGCTGAATGTGGTACTGAAAAATTTAAGAATTTTTAGTTAACATTTCAAAACAGAAACAGAATCATGACAGAGCTATTCTTATTTATTCTATCATGCTCTCTTGGAGGTATAGTATGATATAGTAGTAAGGAACACAAATCTGAAACCAGTATGTTTCAATTTAAATACTATTTCTGTTATTTTGTAGCTGGGTATCTGTAAATTAATCCCTGGCTCTTAATTTCCTTTCCTGTAGAATGAGGATAATCTTAGTTCTTACCTCATAGGGTTGTTGTGAGAATTAAATGAGTTAAAACATGTAAAATGTTTAGAATAATTCTTGGCACACAGGAAGTATCATATAAGAACTATCATTGCCTCAACTTGTAGAATATTTTAAAAATTCAAGTATTAACTCTATAGAGGAGTGATAAAATTTAAAAAGGAAGAGTCCTTTAAGTACGTAAAGAAATCCTTTAAACAACCAAAAGTATCTCACTGAAACTCAGATCCAAAATCATGGAATGTACTTTGTTGACAATGTAAAATAGAACATGGACTGTCTCAAATCAGTACACTGAAATAGTACTGTGAAAAATTCAATTAACTATAACTTTAAATGGTCTAGAAAGCCTGTTTTTACATTCTACATTAGAACAAAGAAAGGAAATTGACAAGCTATAGGATCTTAAAAAATCCTTTTCTATGACTCAGTTTATAATTAATTTCTTACTATTTATTTATAGTTCTTAATGAGAATACCAATGCTTTTGAATAAGGCTCAAAAAGTGCAATGCAAGTAAACCCAATTGTGCTGTACTGATTGGAGTAAGAAATAGTAGCATAAAATTTTAAAGCAAGGGGTTATTAATTGAACAACTTAGTTAAGCAATCATTATTTTTAAGCAAGTTAGTTAATAAAATTTTACTGTATAAATTCCTGACCCATTGAAGCAAATAGTAGTTTAGCAATCGATACATGATCTCCATAGAAATGTTCATGAATCTGTGATAACTCTACATGCTCCTTAATAAAAGTAGAGAAATCTTATTTAGTTTAAAATAAATTTTAAATAATATTAGGTAATAAGGATGATAGTGCAATAGGCCACTTGCCTGTAAGTTCCATTTGACTGTTAGTACTAAAAATAAAGCTATATTTCAGAGGGATTATAATATGCCTTAAAATGAAATGAATATAAAACATGTAAAACCACTAAAAAAAACTTATCTATTCGTCAATGTGTGGCAGTTTAAACAGAAAAGAAGAAAAGGAAGATCAAAAGAAGAAGGAAGAAGAAGAAGGATGAATGAAGAAGGAAGAGGAAGAAGATGATGACACGACAACTGCTTTAAAATAAACCTTGAGATTTATTTGGTATGGGGTAACACTAACAATACACCACTTGCAGTCCTAAGTTACATTTATGGAGAGGCTTGGGCAAAGTTTGCTCTGGGGCTAGCATCAGAACTGCATGGCTCAGGGAAAGCACTCTAAGGAACAAGAGAATATTTCTAAAGACTATTTTAACAAGTGTGAAACACATGGCTTATCATATTGTTCTTAAGTATCATGGTCTGCCAAACATTTCTGGGACATATATACCTACTCCAAATGAGGGTTTTCTACATACTGGTATTAATTAAAAACAAAAATGATGCTTTCACACTAAAGCCACATACCCACACCCACCCACACATGCCCTATGAACTTAAGTTTTTAAAACCTTCCTTTCAATTTGTCTACAGGTAGAACTAGATGATGGACTACATGGTATGTGCCACCTAACATAACATATTATGAAATGACAAAGTAGAACTTTTTTCTATCATGTAGTATAAAAGTAGATATGAAGTTAATTATGAACCTACTCAAAGGTGCTTTTAATAATATGAGCATCCAAATAACCTCTCTAAGTAGAAGGATGGGTATCAAAGGCTAACATGTAGTAGCTGTTGACAAATGCCAATTTCCCCCACTCTTTTATTATATATTGACAACTTATAAAAACACACAATTAATTGTTTTTTAATATGGTATTCTGAGAAACTGTAGCTCAGATTACATTGTATGCTGAAATGATATTCATTCAGGAAAAAAATTCTGATGGGCTTCCAACAAAAGACCCAATTGGAAATGGCAGTAATGGTATATTTGATAACAGAAAAAGCAGATGTCAGTCACTTCCTTGGTTATCTTCTAGTGAGGTAAGGGCAAAAGATACTGTAATTGCTTGTAAACTATTGGTAAGAGAGAGGGAATAAAAGGACACACTTAATAGCCTAGTACCTCAAAATCATTACTTTATAGCTGACATATCTTGTTTCTGTTGACTAAAGAATTCCCTTATACTTTGGATAGAGGAGAAATTGCCCAGAGAAGCATTATATGCTTTAGGCTCCAAAGATCTTATACTTGATTTGTATTCGAGAAATCACCTAAAAATGTTACTGGATAAGCAGCCATATTGGAGATGTGACAGAATTTTATTTGGGTTTGTTCTTTGAGCTTTATTCAAAACCTGTTTCTAATTGTGATGCAAGGCATTTTAGTGAGATGTCCAAAGGCAAAGGACTAAGGTGACAGAGGCAGTATTTTATCTCTCTCCCATATCTTTTGATAGTGAGTGATTATATCTAGGATAGTAGTATGAGGAGACTATATATTAATTCATAATACTGACATGTGATGTACTGTTAATAATAAATGTAAATAAAAGCATATAATCAAATGTTTATAATATTTTAAAAATCTGTTTCTAAATATAAAATAACTGATATGAAAACATAAGGATTAGTGAAAAGTAGTAAAGTTGCAACTGGAGAAAATAAACTAATCACTAAAAATTCAAGTGCCTTACTATATATTTAACTTGTCAAAGTATATTTACATACTTAGGAGATTAGACAGTAGCAAAATGAAACCAAGTAAAATCTGGGCAGAGAAAGTGGAGAATATTATGCTATTTTTATAACAAAAATAAGCCACCCTTGTGGCACTGAAAGAGAACTTCTACATCCATGTGTAATTACTCTCTAGATTTTGTGACATCTACAATAAAGTGAGCAGCATTCATTTTATTTAAATCAATATTTAACATATTGGCACTCTGCAGTCAAGTTTAAACGACTTTGACCCTGAATCTGGTCAAACTTGGATAGACGTATATGTGTAGTTTGGAGAATTAGACTCTTTATAGTCATACCTATACATCGACTTTATATTTAACAATACATACACACATAGTGTGTGCTAGACAGCACCAATAATTGGTATCTCCTATCCAAAGAACCACATGGTTTCTGTTCTCTTTATCACCATCTCTTATCTGGATGCCTGTGCTAGAGTCATTTAATTGGTCTCTCTATATAAGATTAGTCTTTCCAAAATACAAATCTAAGCATATTTCTGCCCTTAGTTTTCATCTAATTTCTACTCAGCTCTGAGATTTAAAATTCAACATTACCTCTTCCCAGAATTCCAGGACAGAATTAGGTAACTATTTTCTTGCTTCAGTGGCTCTATTCCTTTTGTAATGTGCCATGCTATTTTGTGATTGACTTTGCAATCTAACTATGCAGTAAACTCCTTGAATACAGACACTATTTTATTCCTTTTATGTGTAGTGACTGACTTGTTGGTGCATACTTGCTGAATGAAAATACTACTATTGCAACAAATACTAAAAACACTGGTTTTTAGATCACCACCACCACCTTCATAGAACTTGCAATTTTAACTAGGGCAGAATTCCAGGCTTTTTTTAGAGGAAAGTTTTTTAATGATATCAGTGTTAATTGTACAACTTGTTATATAAGCAGGGCTATAAAGTGCTAATTATAACTAGTTTCAGGGTTTCTTCTTTACTTGAAAAACAAAACAAACCCATCCAATGCCTCCTTTAGGAGTTTTTTTTTTAAACCTCTTGCAGATATGTAATAAACATATGTGTCTCCAGGTGTTTTTAAAAAGGTAAAGGACAGAAAAATGAACACATAAATATATATAATACAGAAAAATTTCCGTCCCTAGGGAATAGTATTGAGGCTAAAAAAGGGAATAAGAAAGATAAAGTTGCTTCATGTTGCTCAAGTTTCATTGTTTCATTGTTACATAATTTCTTTTCTTAGTATACAATTTGGCTGTGCTGAATTCAGTGTGTGGAATAAGAACTAGTATATATCATGCCATAAGAGATAAGAGGGACAAGTGGGACCTCATCAAACTGACAAGCATCTGTAAATTCAAAGAAACCATTAAAAGAGCAGAGAGGCAGTCCATAGACTGGGAAAAAAATATTTGCCAACTGTATATCTGACAAAAGCCTAACATCTAGGATCTACAAGGAACTCAAACGTGCTGAAAAGAAAAAAACAGCCCCATTACAAAGTGGGCAAAAGATATGAATAGACCCTTTTCAAAAAAAGACATACAAGAAGCCAACAAATACATGAAAAATGCTCAGCCTCACTAGTCATCAAAGAAATGCATATTAAAGCTACATTGAGATACCACCTAAATCCAGTCAGGATGGTCATCATCTATACCTAAAAAAACAACAGATGCTGGAGAAGATGAGGGGAAAAGGAAACACTTCTACACTGTTGGTGGAAGTATAAATTAGTACAACCTCTATGGAAACTGACGATTCCTAAAAGATCTAAAAATCTACCTTCCATATGACTCTGAAATCCCCCTACTGGGAATATAGCTGGTGGAACTCAAATCAATCTACGAAAAAGATACCTGCACACACGTTTATTGCAGTATTGTTCACAATAGCAAAAACATGGAACCAACCATGCGGCCTATCGAAAGAGGACTGGATTAAAAAAAATGTGATACATATAAACAATGCAATATTACACAGCCATAGAGAAGGACAAAATTATGAACCGTACAGCAACTTGGTTTATAATACTAAGTGATCTATCTCATAAACAAAGAACTGAGTACACATGTTCTCACTTTTAAGCAGATCCTGAACATGTATCATAAAAAACCACAAGAAAGGAATTGGCAGTAGTGGGAAACTGCTGGGGGTTGGGGGGATGGGATTGGCAGCAGAGGGAATCTGCTGGGGAGGCGGGGTGTTGTGGAGGGCACACTTCATCAAGAAGGCTACCTGCATAATGAACATTTGCATACTTAACCCTGAATTGTACCTCACATCTTTAAAATAAAAATTTAAGAAAATTAAAAAATTAAAATAAAAAAAAAGATATTGAATGGGCATCAAGCAAAGAGGGTCAGTGATCAATGAGAGATGGAAACAAATGAGATGAACCTTATGACTACCCAGCTTACTGCCTTATGTACAGTTTCCAGTTTGCAAACTAAGGAAGGGAAACTCTGGCAGAACCAGAAAGAACACCTGGGTTCAAATAAAGATGCCTCACTAAAAATCCAGGCAGCTGAAATTTGCAGAGTACAGTAGTAGAAAGCAGAAAGGAGAACACAAAACAGAGAGAGAACCACAGGCGTTGACACAGTCTCTATCCTCCTCTCCACAGCTCAAGTATTCAGCTGAGTACTGATCAGTCTAGAGAAGAAAGAATATGAGAGAACGAGCAGGAACTGTGCTCAGTGTTCACATAAATTTGGGAATAGTACATGTTACTACCAGACAGACTGAAGAACCTAGCGCATAGGTCACTAGATACATTATTCAACAAAACAAAACAGGTGCATAAACTTAATATGACATTCATGAATAAAATTCCTGTTTTCATTCAGCAACAAAATTATGCTAGCCAAGCATATATATACTGAATTGACTAGACTGTTACATCTGCTTGCTTACATCTTCAAAAATAAAATGATAAACTTTTATGTGATACTGAGATAAACAATTGTTTTCTTTCAGGTATTTATATTACCTTCCAGGTTCATTCCAGCTTGAAGACATTTTCGATAGCGGCATGCTGGGCAGTTTTTTCTTCGAATTTTATCAATGATGCAGTCATTTCTTCCAGCACAAAGATAATTGTGCTGTCCTATATGAATAAAAGGCATTCTTAAAATTTCACAGGTCTTAAAGGTTATTTTTTATGGAGAGCCTCTATCTGTTTTTGTTTCAAGTGGTATATAACAACATACCAGAACAGGTATTGATTAGGGGAGTATTCTTGCCTACATTGTCATTATGAAGTTGAGAGGTCAACAACAACAACAACAAAGACTCTCTCTTTTTCTGCTTAACAAACTGAAAATAGTTCATTAAAAAAACTTTCCTGCAGTATACACATATAAAAGTGCACAAACCATAAGTGTACCACTTAATAAATTTTCACAAGCCTTGCACCTCCATGTAATAAGCTCTCAGATGAAAAAATAAAACAGAATAGGGTGGGCTTGGTGGCTCACCTTGTAATCCCAGCACTTTGGGAGGCCAAGGCAAGTGAATTGCCTGAGCCTGTGGGTTTGAGACAGCCCGGGCAACTTGGCGAGACCTTGTCTCTACAATAAAAAAATTAGCTGGGTGTGGTAACGTGCCTGTAGTTCTGGCTACTTGGAAAGTTGAGGCGGAAGGATTGCCGGAGCCCAGCAGGTCGACGCTGGGGTGGCCATGAGCATGCCACTACAATCCAGAGCCTGGGCAACAAACTGAGACTCTAACTTAAAAAAAAAAGAAAGAAAGAAAGAAAGAAACAGAACAGTACTCCATGAGCTCCCTTTGTGCCCAATGTCAGTCACTACCCACCATAAATTGTACTTTAAACAGTTGTTCTTTTAACAATTGCAGAAGATATCTGTAATGACTATTATGACATCTGACCTACTAAAGAAGGCTAACCACAAAAGAGAAAATGTTTAAAAATACAGTGGGAATCCCAAGAGAAAATGATTTTAAATGAACATTATGCCACCATATGCAAATAAAATGTGCCCTCTTTCCAATTTAAAATGAAATGATAGATACACAGTAATATTTAATCTTGAATGTTAAGGTTGCTGGCAACTGGTTAGGTGAATGAAGCACAGACCTGGCAAACTAAACTACTATACATAGATCTTACAAAGATCATTATTTCACATGCCTTTAGAACATAAGGATAATTGAATTCACCTTGAATCTCAAATATTAAATACTGTTACTATCTAAAATCTTTTGGCACTCAGTTTTAAATAATGTGTTAAGAATTATAGTTCTCTCATAGCAAAAATTTTCAAGAAAAATTTAAAAGGGAAATTTAAAGTCTCCCCGTGCCCCAAATATACATTCTTTAGTCTGGTAATTGAATGTTGAAGAAAACTATCTGAGCATTTGCTGGCCTGGCAAAAAGTGGAAGGCCAGCTCATCAGCATGGATAAATTAGACAACTAAGTTAATGTACATTACAGTAGCAGAGACAATCTTCACAAGACTCTGTGATATATCTCTCAAAAATCATATTCAAAGAAAAAAATCATAATTATCAACTCACCAGGTTTAGTATAACTAGTTCTGATTTCTGGGAAAAGATCTTTTATGTCGCCGACAACCTAAGATTTGACTTGTTGAAAACAAATGACATTCACTTCTTACTAACATGATAAATCATAATGCTCTTTAAATGCTAGTTTAGGGTAGATGGTTAACTGTAACAGGTTCAATTCTTTGTGAGGAACAGGACACAGAGTTGAGCAAGAGACAATTCAGCTTTGTTCCAGAGCTGTTCTCCAATGCCAAATGTCTATACCAGCTGTTTCAATCTTTTTCTATATTTTGTAAGTTTCCTAGTGTCTTTACTTGGACATAAAATGGAAGCACTAGCCCAATAACTACATCCACTATAAAGCAAAAGTAGAAATAATAGCAGGTCAAGGCTGCGGTGGCCGGGAGCGGCCACTGCACTCCAGTCTGGGTGACAGAGTGAGACTCCAACTCAAAAATAAAAGGAAAAGTAGAAATAATAGATGTATTCATTGTTGAAGCAATTATAATACGAAACAGTTTTACCCATAAGGATGTCCCTAAATCACTGTCCTATAATTACTGGAACAATAGAAAAAATTAACCATTGCTTAAAAAAATCCAATGGAAATATCAGGATATGCATATTATGCTAAGAATGATTTCTTTATCCTAGGTCCTAGGTATGTCTTGAGCACAGTTAAGAATGTGAGCTACAAGATCAGGGGCATTGTGGCTTCATAAGTTAAAAACAGTCCTATGTGGTTATTAGCATAAAGTTGGGTAAGTCTGTCTGTTCCTTATCTGCTTCTCATCTATAAAAATGGAGAGTTTTGCCGGGCTCGGTGGCTCAGCCTGTAATCCTGCACCTTTGCGAGGCTGAGGGGAGTGGATTGCCTGAGCCCTCGGGTTCGAGACCCGCCTGGGTAGCGAGACCTCATCTCTACAATAAATCAAAAAATCAGCTGGGCGTGGTAGCGCATGCCTGTAATTCCGGCTACTCGGAAGGCTGAGGCGGAAGGATTGCCGGAGCCCAGCAGGCGAGGCTGCGGTGGCCGGGAGCGGCCACTGCACTCCAGTCTGGGCGACTGAGTGAGACTCCAACTCAAAAAAAAAAAAAAATGGAGAGTTTAAAAACTAGTGTTCACTGTTTTACAACACATGGCAATGTACCATTGATAGTCATTACCTGTCAATTCTTTTGAAAAGACAATGAGACATCTTAGTTTATAGTTCCTACTGGTAAATTCCCTTTATAGCTAATAAAAAGATAACAGGTGAAAAGCCTTCAGGTCAGCTGAAATTCTGTAGCATTATTTTGTTTACATGATATTTATGTTTATGGATAAAATCTATTTTTGGCAAGTGATTCTGTTTTTCTACTCATGGTAGAAATGGCAGCTGGCCTCCAAGATGGCCCTCAGCTATCTCTTTGCCTTCTTGTAATCATGCTTCCACGTAGTCTCTGCACACTAAACCAGGATTGACCAATAAAATATTGCAGAAGCGGTAGCATGTCATATCTGAAGTTAGGTTATAAAAGACATCAGTGGTTCCACATTGGTCACATACTCTCTTGGATCATTTGTTCTGGGGAAAGCCAGTTGCCATGTTGAAAGTAGCCCTAAGGGAGTCCCTAAGGGAGGTCAACATAGTAAGAAAGCTTCCACTAAAAGCCATATGAATGAGCTTGGAAGTGGATCCTCCAGTCCCAGTTAAGCCTTCAGATGACTTCAGCCCCCACTACTAGCTTGAATGTAACCTCATAAGAGTCCTGCCTCAGCCTCCCAAGTAGTTAGGAATATAGGTGAATGCTATCATGCTTGGGTAATTTTTGTATAGCCGAGGCCTCTCCATGTTGCCTAGGCTAGTCTTGAATCAAGTTAAGCTGCATCTAGATTCCTGGCTCTCAGAAACTGTATGACATGTTTGTTACTTTAAGCCATTAGTTTTGGGGTAATTTTTAATGCAGCAATAAATTACTAATACAGCAGGAAAAGTAAACTAGTTTTTTTTAAAAAATGAGTTTAAGTTTTTAAAAAACGTAAGCCGAGAAAAATATTAAGCAGTGGATAGAAGAGTGATGCATGGACATGAGCAGCATCATCAGAGTGCCACAGGAAATGGGCAACACAGCAAATGGTATGTGGAATATGCAGGCTGTATACCCTACTTGAGGTATCTGAGGATTAAATATAAACCATTACTATCAGCTTGAGCTTCTTTCTTCCTTTGCTCTTAAGGACAGTGTGGTATGGTGGAAAGTACACTGATCTCAATCCCAGCTCTATATCCTAGCTGTGTGATCTCAGTAACACGTAATAACTTTTCTGCATCTCTGTTTCTTCGTGTGTAAAGCTGGAAAATTAGCACCTACCTTGCTGGCTTCTGCCAGGGTTAGAGCTAATTATGTACATGGTTCTTACCATAGTGGCTAACACATTGCAAGTAATCAATAAGTACTAGCAATTAATTACCTTAGGGTCTCAGTATCCAACTAGATTCTAAACTGTCGGATGATAAACTTTTTAGGGGCTCGGTGTAGTAATGAGGTTAAGACCCTGTTAGGAAACAGTTGTATTTGAATACCAGCCTTTCTTCCACTTAAACTCTCTAAGCCTCAGTTTCCTAGTTTACCAAGTATAGATTATAATAGCATAAACTGAATGGCATTATGTATATATAACATAGTACCTTGGCCCATGGTAATTAAGGATAGCTGATCCCTATCTCCATTATGCCTATGCCAATAAAGATTATACACATGCACTTTTGGGCAATAGGAATATAAGAAAAGAGACTCAGAATAAATAAATAAATAAATAAATAAATAAATAAATAAAAGGAATGGCTAGTGATCTAGCATACATAGAAAGAAATAAGAGCTACCCATAGTTATCTTCTATATGTAGGAAAGCAACTCTTAAAATACTGAATTTAAAAAATATAAAAATATCTATTCTTGGTCTGGGTTGAATAAGTAAAACTTCTTTTTAAAATTATTTACTTTTATTTATTTTTTTGGAGACAGGCTCTTGCTCTGTTGCCCAGGCTGACATACAGTGATGTGATCATGGCTTGCAGTCTTAAACACCTAGGCTCAAGCAATCCTCCTGCCTCAGCCTCCCAAGTAGTTAGGAATATAGGTGTATGCTACCATGCCTGGCTAATTTCTGTATAGCTGAGGTCTCTCTATGTTGCTTAGGCTAGTCTTGAACTTCTAGCCTCAAGCAGTCCTCCCACCTTGGCCTTCCAAAATACTGGGATTGCAGGTGTGAGCTACCACGCCCTGTCAAAGTAAAACTTCGGCAGATTTCCTAAGACTAGCTAAATATTTGGAGATTTATTTTGCTATGCCAACCTGGGAGGGATAACCTATAATTTCTAGCAGGTGTTAAAAAAAAAATGGAGAGCTAGGTGTATGATGCAAATAATATAAGATGCATCTTTATAACTGTTTAAGAAATTACTCCAAAATATATATCTGGGATTACAAATAATGCATATTTCTGTTGTGTCTAAATAGAAAAATGGAAGAACTGCTCTAGTTAGGTTATCAAAAGATTACAGAAGCTTAGAGCTGGAAAGGGCCTTTAAGAACATTAAAATCTAAAAAAAAAAAGGAGGAACCAGAGCAAAGTAATTTACTTATTTAACATAGTCCACATTTTAACCTTTTTCTTATTAATCAATAATCTAACCATCATTCTTTACTGAAATACTTAAATGGCAAAACATTTTAATAGTATAGCTAATATTCAATTAAATTTTACCTAAAAACAAGAATTTAATTTTAAAACAGGGATTACATAGAGGACATATGGCCTGCACTGGTCTTGTATATGGGAGATATGTTTAGCTTTGTTTTCTGTTTTGGGTAGAGCATGTATGCGCTCTCTAATAGCAACACCTACCATCCTTCTCCCAATTGTATTATATTTGGCCAGAATGACACATATTTGGTCCCGTAAGCATTTTACTTTATAGCCCTGTTTTAAATAAAAATTTTAGTTAAAATGGAGGAAAGTGAAAAATATTTTAATATGCATGTTTTTAAGGTTCCATTGTCTCATTCTGAATTTCACATTCAAAAGTCAATTTGTTGATATTTTTTATTATATGCAGTCAGGTGCTCCTTGACTTATGATGGAGTTACATCCTGATAAGTCAAAAGTGCATTTTTCAGCTTAAGTCAAAAGTGCCTTTTGACCTTTCAGCATAAGTCAAAAGTGCCTTTTTCAGCTTATGATGTTTTCAATTCTCAGTGAGTTTATCCAGAGGCATCCGCACTGTAAGTCGAGGAGCATACTGAACGCATATTGCTTTTTCACAACTGAAAAGTTGAAAAATCGTAAGTCACTATTATCACTGCATTTACAACCATGGATGTACCTAAGCAGTTAAAGTGCTGACTAAAGTGAGGACAAGAAGAGGAAGAAGAGGCTTCCCTCTTCAGGTATTTGTTAAATAACATTCACTTTGTTAGAAGCACTGCGCAGGGGTGGGTCTTACTTATGACTCTAATCAATAGATGGGAACTACTACACTGGCCAAAACTAGCATCCTTGTGGTCTATATGCGATAACAGGAGTACTTTTATAATTTGCTAATGTATTAAAAGTTAATCCAAACAAAAGAAAATAACTCATCTAACTCTCAAGGATATGCAAACACAATACTAGCCAAACAATAATAACCCTCATACAGTGAATACATAATTGCATTTCTTTAAAATTTAATATAATCAGAGCTTTGGGTAATCCATTCAGGCCATACTGCTTTCAGACTGCTTTACAAATAACTAAATTATATGACTATTTTTTCCAAGAGGTAATATTAGAAAATTTTAGAATCTCTTCCAATAATAATTTGCTATGGAATGAATTTCTCCTTGAGGGAGATAATGCTATTGCCCTATCTTCAGTATGAATCCATAACAGGGGTTCGGTTTGTATTAACACAACTTTCATATAATGAAATAACCTTCTCTAAAATACCTTATTGGCTGACCTCCTTGGGCAGAGTTTATCATTCCTTCCTCTGTAGTATAATCTCTGTACTTTCTAATTGTTGACTCATTTTTCACTTTAGTAGACTCTGACCTCCCAGAGGGCAGGGATTAGGTCTTACTGGTATTTATATCACTTAGCACAGTGCGCTGGCTTTATTTCCCCCCCTCATGGTTCTCACTGTCAGTCATTTTTGTCAGATGGTATAGTTGGTGACTTTGAAACCAAATAGCTTATGGGAATTCTTTTTTTTTTTTAGTCAGGATGTCACTGTATCACCTAAACTAGAGTACAGTGGCATGATCATGGCTCACTTGGGCTATACCGAACTCCTAGGCACAAGTGATCCTTCCATCCCAGCCTCCCGAGCAGTTAGGACTACAGGTACACATCACCACACCCAACTAATTTTTTTTTCATTTTTTGTAGAGACAAGGTCTCACTACATTGCCCAGACTGGTTTTGAACTCTTGGGCTCAAGTAGTCTTCTTGCCTTAGCCTCCCAAAGTACTGAGCCTACAGGCATGAGCCACCATGTCCTGCCTATGGGAGCTAGGTTTTAATACAATGAGCATTATGTTACTGCCTAAACGTAGCACTATCATTTCACATGACAGCACTTTCTTACAGTAGTGTTACCCTCTGCTTTCAGGTCAAAGCCCCTTGCATCATTTTGTACTTTTCTATTTTATTCTAGTTCTTCTTGTGTTGGTTTTTAAAATATCCTCCTTCCTACTGGAAGACATAGGAGCTATTCCTCTTCCTCTCCTCCCTTAACTGATATTTAGTCTCAATGGGCTTTGTATATAATGGGAATTTCAAAATCCACCCTGAGAAATGGGAACCAAATAGTGAAAAAACAAAACTCTTCAAAACACACACTACCTTCCACTGCTCTTTTGAAGAATACTTTGCAGCTTCCACAAGTTAAGACTCCATAATGACATCCTGAAGCTTCATCAGAGCATACCAGGCAGAGTTTGGGAGGTGGTCCTGTGGCTGTTGAGGAGCTAGATGGAGGAGAGCTGACATCTGGTCTCATGCCAGGGCTAAGAAGGAGAAAAACAATGTTACGATTTAATTGTCATGATGTCAAAGGAATATCCTAATATAGTTCTCTTAGCTTCTGACTCCACAGTCAGCATGTTCACACTAAAATCTGGCTTCAAGTACTAGCAGACAATAAAATATCCTATCCAAATATATTCAAATAATGTTATATTCTTCTTTCATACAAAATTAAGAATGCAGTCATTTATTTTAGAGCATTACCAAAATAGAATGGTGAGGTTATGGTTCATTTAAAAAATTATCATTTTGAGTTGCTTGAGATTTATTTATTTTTATAATCAGCTTTATTAAGGTGTCATGTACAATAACCATTTACTATTTCTAAATGTATCATCAAGTCTCATTACAATTCTACCTACATCTTCTACTAGAGACTTTTTTTTTTTTTTTTTTTACAATCTTAGAGTTTTCCACATCGCTCATTCCCAATGTCATCCTGGCTGAAACCACAACTGCCTATGACTTAGAAATGAGTGGCCCAGAAATATTACTTTCTATAACCTTCCTGTCTGGCTTGCAATGAGATAGGACAGAGCACTAGCCATCCAACAGGGAGAACTGTTCTGCCCACTCCACTCAATGAAAATATGCCCTGAAGAAAATGATAAAAATTTGAATCTGCTTCTCTTACTAAGTCTCATTTTTCATTTTGCAAACTTCTCACCACAATGAGTGAAGGCCTAATGTTTACTAGTGTTTAAAAGATATATAATTTGTCATTTTGAAAATTTTTAAAGTCTTAAAAAAGTTAAAAGAATTGTACAATTGATATATACCATTTATCTATACTCACTAAGTCTTAATATTTTGCCACATTTGTTTATAAAGATGTATTTTTATAAACCAATGAAAGTGATCCTTTTAATACTGGAAGAAAAGTCATTATTTCATTTTATATTGTATGATACAGTGGTTTCCAATGTTTTATCTTCCTGAGGAATTTTTATCTTACATGCTGACTTCAGAACCAACACTGTATTATAACTAAAAAGAATTTCTAGCCTTCTGCTTATTATGAGAGATTACTCATTCCTTTTTTAGTTATGTGCTCTTAAGCAGACCTTAAAATATATGAATGGTAGCAACCTGCTGATTTTGTAACTCTACATATCTGATTTTGTAACTCTACATGCTTATCACCTGTACAAGAAAGTTCATAAACATACTTTTCTCTGAACTTTTCTTACTTTGCCTGTTCTCTAAAAGAGATGACATTTAGGAATAAAAACTAAGATTAGGTGTTAGTTTAGTTGTTTCATTATCATACTTTATTACTGTATCCTTTTGTTTATTTCAGACAATAACAGTACTAAGTCTCAAAAAAAAAAAGAACAGTACTAAATCTCAGTTACAAATGTTTAAACTAATTCACAGAGCAAACTAACTTAAGATACAATTTTAGTTATCAATCTGGTTAGAAGTTATATTTATTAAGTGACACCTTCTTTGTTGTTCTGCTTAGGTATAAAAATTAACAGGCAATAATTGTAGACTAACAATTTCTTCTATATATGTTACCCTAAGTAATTAAAGCAGTAAACCCAATAGCTCCCCTGAATTCTGTCCTCAACTAAAGCTTACCCAAACATCATTGTCAGCTGTCTGCTTATCCAAGAGGCTTAGTCAACAGAACAGCATTCCCACCACCCCAATTCTGGGAATAGTCCCAGGGTTTCACGTTGTTCTCTGGATACTGTCAAGAAGAATTTCTGGCTGCTTCTATATCACAAGCCATTGATTCCTTACTAGATTTGGGTGAGCAGACTGACTACATATTGAAAGCCTATAATAGAAGAGACTAACCTGAAATGACTCTGCTGTAGGTCTGGCACAAGCCACTTCTGATTAATGAAACTTGTGACTAATGTAGAGGAGCTATTTGGGCCAGAGTTTTACAGGGAAGTAGTAAGGTCCTGGAACAGGAAACAGTGAAGCAAAACCTTCCCTGGCTTCTGAAGATGCTCCTATCTGCTTAGCCAATCCCTGTCACCTGACATCTATTTTTAGGGATCAACTATTTGTTTATATATTTAGTTTATGGAAAAATGAGTGCATTGTTTAAAAATCTGAAAGGTATTTCTGTAATGTTTTCTTAACCACTTACATATATATACACACATAAATTTTAAATAGCACTTTGTAATATATTTTAGTTTCAGCTCTCAACAACCCCGTGTAAAGGATGTCATCACCCTGGATGAAGTCATGTAGGCAGGTGGTTGATCAGGGAGCCTATCTGTGGTTAAGATGACATGCTTCAGTTTCCAGTTGTACCACTTAATAGCCTCTGTGATCCAGGGTACGTGTCAACTACTTTTGCCCTCAGTTTCCTCGTCAGTAAACTGGGAAGGACATCACTTGAGTGTGTGTGTTGTGAAAATACAATAACATATAGAAAGTCTAGTACATAGTTCCTGCAACTAGCAGGCTCTTGGTACATGTTCATTCTATTCTTTTTCAGGAACACTGAAGATTTTACAAATACGTGTTACATAAGTACTATGTAAGTGGAAGGCAGTATTAAGTCTAAAATCTAGGACAATATTCTCAAATTCTTATAAACCAGAACACATGCAAAACGTGCTTAGGCCACTTAATTGTGAGCTACAGATGGCAAAAGGGAAAGTAAAAACTAGGTCCACAAATGGACTGACAGAACAGTAGCTAAGAATTTGGAACCTAAGTCAGGGTTTTGGCATCCCTTCAGGCAGTCACTCTGGGGTACATCAGACACAAACTGAGTGGATGGAAAGCTGCCAGGCGTACCACAGACATCAAGGAAGAAAATCAGTTTTGTCACACAAAAGGACTATGCTGGCTAATAATGAACATCACTGGAAGAAATGGATGAATGCTAAATGGCATTTAGCTGCAAACATGACTCTATGATATTGCTAAGGCTAGGGCACAACAAAATCTTTAGAACTCACAGGAAAATCATATGGAATTGCCATCTTTTATTTAGGATACATGCCATAAGGAATAAAAAGCACACCATAATAAGAGTACATATTGTAGCCCCTTTGAATGCAAAGGCAAAAATGTCCTGGTCTAAGGCACCATTATCTGTAATAGTTATTGGTTGCTTGATGTGTGTTTATAGCTGTGCCACACATTCTGAAGATGTTAAGACGTGCCATTATGAACTGACTAGACCCACTGTGCCTTCTTGTAAGTGATGAGCCACAGGAACAAAATGCCTTGTTCCAGGTGAATACCTGAATGCTGTTGGGTCAAGTCAGAATGGCAACGGTAGTGGACACTAAATCATTCCTAAGGCTACTGAGTTTATGTTAGAGTTCAAAGAGAGAAAAATATACATAAAACTAGGAATTTCTGTTTAATTTTCTGTCAAGAAAAACAGGACCATGGATGAAAAAGCTAAAGGAGGACCATGGATGAAACAGTTAAGGACAGATTATGAGTTACACACTTTGAGAAACATATAAAATGTACAGGCAAATTACACCCATTCATTCAGCAGATACTTCCTGGGACCTGAATGCCAGGCACTGTGAGGATACAGAAGTTATATCATGCTAGAACCTTGAAACTTTGATCTAGGAAGGAATACCAGAATATTTTTTAGCTCTTATGTCACAATACCACCAGAAAGAAATCAGCTTTATAGACAAACTTAGGTTCAAATCTAGTTCCAGTGCTTTAATATCTGTGTGGCATTGGCTTACTAACTTAATCTCTTTGAGTCTATTCCTTTATCAGTACTATTACAGGAGTTTTTGTATAGATTATATATTATAGTTACATAAAGCACTGGTACATACTTGGTGATCATCAAATAAAAGGTCTCTACCCTACCCCCAGGGATTACATTTCCCCCCCCCCACCCAATTCTTCCTTCCCTCCTGGAGAATCACAGAGAAAGAAAAGTGTGAGCCAGGGTAACGGTCCTCCAAAAGTGTAAGTTTAGGTAATTATAGTATTCTTTATTGATACTAAACCCAAACTCAACTATTTAGTTGGTATTTTTTTTGGGGGGGGGTTGGCGTCTCACTCTGTCACCCAGACTGGAGTGCAGTGGCCGCTCCCGGCCACCGCAGCCTCGCCTACTGGACTCCGGCGATCCTCCCGCCTCAGCCTTCCAAGTAGCTGGAATTACAGGCATGCACCACCATGCCCGGCTGATTTTTTGATTAATTGTAGAGATGAGGTCTCGCTGCCCAGGCGGGTCTCAACTCACAACTTAATCTTACACATACTTTTCTTCTCAACAACCATCAAATGCTATATGCAGTGTAAGTGCTTTATTCATCTTCCCATTTTGTCACACAGATACTAAAAAGACACATGCATTCCAGGGTCGCAATTTAATGGAATTAATACTTTTTTGCTTTCTCGGGGATATTAAGTGGAACTGCCTTTTTCTTTTAACTGTGAGTACAATACTGTACATTAAGATGCCAACAGTTTTACTCATCTTTCATTTTATAACATCAGTGCAAATTTCAACATAATGAGATTACAAATAAAGCATTTTGAAAATAGTTCTGAAAGGATCTTGGGAACCCATAGGGAACCACGGACCATACTGTCAGAATTGCTGTCTTAGAGAGTAAGAAGTGAAGACTCCAAATGAGGCTACAAGACATATTCTAACTCTGCAGTGTAGTAGCTGGGGACCTCTTAATTTACCTGAATCTCAGCTGTCCTATTTCTAAATAGAAACAGTAATGTTCCAGAAAAAAGGATACAGTATTGCTTACTAAATTAGAGACTTTGCCCACAGAGAAAGGAACAGAGATGATAAACTATTAATAAGCCAAACGGCATGGTTGGCTTTGCATCCATCTTAGGTGAATTAATCACCAAATTTTCATTGAAATGCAATAAATACCTTTGGGAAAAAACAAAAAGGATATTATTGCCTCAGGAAACATTAATTAACATGGAAAAAATCCTGGGCCAGGCATGGTAGCAAAAGCCTGTAATGCCAGCACTTTGGGAGGCCAAGGCGAGT